GAGCCATCTCTCCAGCCCCAAGAGATCTGTTTTTAACTCAATATGCTCCATTCCGCTGCATCTACCACGAAGAGTCAAGACTTGGCTTTCCTGTGACAATCATCTCAGAAGATCCCTTTCAAAATGTCAAACTGAGAGAACTAAACCAATAAACAAGAAACAGTCCATTAGGCTCAGAAGGTAAAAAAAGACTGAAGAATGGCAGGGGCGGGGGCTGACGTCATTTCAAGGTGGAAAAAGAGAACCTATGAACTGAAATGAGGCAAAATTCGAAGTGGTCAGCTCTGAGACTGCATCAGCTCTTTAAATCATTGGGCCCAGTTCATGCAGAATTAGGACAGAATGATTTCTGACAACATCAGACCTTCCAGATTTAAAAGCAGCTCAGAAAAGCCAAGCACCACCAGCAGATGCACAGGGAGGTGCTCACAGCCTTTCCACACCACCGGCAACAGCCCAAGAGAGCGCTAAGTGTGACAGCAGCAGGCGCTCCCTTGCCATGGCTGACAAGACAAACACAAACTTCCTACTATTAAAATTTAGGGGCAGGCATGATGGTTCAGTGGGTAAAGGCACTTGCAGTCAAGCCTGACAACCTGAGTTCAATCCCGAGGACCCACTTAAAGGTGGAAGGAGAGAATCTACTCCAGCAAGTTGTCTTCTGACCTCAACACATTCACTGTCACACACATAAATAACGGTAAACGTAATAAAAATGTGTAAAAAGGGGGGATGGAGAGATCGCTTAGCAGTTAGGAGTGCTTGCTGCACTTGTAGAGGGTTCCAGCATCCTGTCAAGCAGCTTTCAGATGTTAACTCCAGCTACAGGGGATCTGATGTTCTCTTCTGGTCTCAGCAGGCCCCTGCCCATGTTTGTGCAGAGACAGACAGAGACAGACGCACGCACATGCAGAGTTCCAGACATCAAATCCACGTAACCAGAATTATGAGTGGCTGTGAGTTGCCTCATGTGGGTGTTGGGAATTGAACCCCAGTCCTCTGAAAAAGCAGCAAGTGCTCTTAACCACTGAGCCATCTCTCCAGCTCCATTCCCGGTATTTCTTTTTATGGGCATGTGTACATGTGAGTGAAGATGCCCTCAGAGGCCAGAAGAGGGTGTTCTAACAGTTCCCATGAAACTGGAGTTACAGGTGGTTTTGAGCTGCCCTACATGAGTGCTGGAAACTAAACTCAGGTCCTCTACAAGGGCAGCAAGCACTCTTAACTGCTGAGCCATCTCTCCAGCCCCCAACTTTCTGTTAAAGAAATGTGTGATTATTTCACATACCCAATGGGGGGGGTCCTGACTCTGTAGCTCAGGCTGGCCTAGAACCTACTATGTAGCCCAATCCCTTGCTCCAACCTCCAAAGTGCTGAGGTTTACAGGTGTGAGCTACCATGGCTATGTTCTGCTAAATCCGCCTCTATACTCAAGGATAATCACCTGACAGCTGATTAAATAGCCACGGCCCGTATGACGGTCATGCTGAGGACACAGCTGGAATTTGATCTAATTTGCTCAACACTTGAATTTCCTTGAGGCAGCAAAAGTACCAGCAGTGGACATTCAGGCCAGATGGCGAAGTCTTTTTTTTTTCCCAGTCACATAAATCCCTGTTAGAAAAGGCGACTACACAAGCTTTTTGTTTTTATTCTGCGTGCATGGGTGCATTGTCTGCACATATGTACATGTACCCGTGTTGTGCAGTGCTGGTGAAGATCAGAAGAGGGTGTTGGATTGTCCTAGAACTGTAGTTATGGACGGTTGTTAGCTGCCATGTGGGTAACTGGGACTCGAACCTGGGTCCTCTGCAAGAACAACCTGTGCTCAAGGCATTCTTTTTTTTATTATTATTACTTTAAAAATATTTATTATTTTTACTTTATGTGTATGTCTGTATTGCCTCCATGTAGGCAAGTGCACCTGTGTTGTGCAATGCCCGTGGAGGACAGAAGAGGCTGTCAGATCCCCTGGAACTGGAGTTACCGACAGTTGTTAGCTGCCATGTGGGTGCTGGGATTTGAATCCCAGTCTTCTGCAAAAACAGTGTTCTTAACCACTGAGCCATCTCTCCAGCCCCTTGGTAGTTGCTTCTTAAGCTAGTTTGGAAATCTTTGGTGCTCTCCATTCTGGTTTTGGCTCCCCTTCAGCACAAATTTTTTGGTAAGCATTTATAAACCACAAGAAGGTGAGTACTATATCCTAAAGTGGAAAATCTGTCACGAAACAATAAAAACAGTAACACACACACACACGCCCCTATGCACGGTAACCTCCTTTTCCGCCTCTTCCACTCACCGCCTGTGTGGTCCTGTCCCTTGGTGTGAGCTGGCAACAGTGACTGGCACCGGACAGGAAGAATGCAATGAAGCCCAAGTGACAGGATAGTGTTTCAAGACCGAGTCATGAAGGACAGGGTCCATGCTGCCCTTGCTCTGTCTGTGGCTTTTCTTGCTTCTTTGGTGAAGACAGTTGCTGTGCTGTCAGTTGTCATGAGGAAGGAATAGAGGTGCTTCATTCAGCAAGGGCCTCAGGAAAGCAAAACCCTTAGGAACCAACACCTGCCCACACGAGCTGTGAGCAGCTGAGCCAGCCAGGCCTGGACCACAGCCCTGAGGATTGAAGCCAGGAGCCCAACCTGCTGCACCAAGACACCTCACCCTTGGAACCGTGGGAGTACAGGTCTGCACTGTCTTAAATGGCTGTGTCTGGGAGGAAGTTCTTATACTGCATTAGAGAACAGACACACCTGGGTAAGTATGTGCTCAAAGAGATAGCAGACCCTTTGTATTAAGTCTGAAACAGCAGTCACATTTTTATACAGAATCAACTAAGCTAGCTGAGGTTATCTCAACTTCAAGAAAGAAAATAGAACTATAGCTTGGTGTGGTGGTGGCATGACTATAACCACTGCACTAGGGAGAGGAAGATATAGGCAGGAGGATCAGGAGTGCAGGGCCAGTCTGGACTACATAGTGAGATTGAGGATAGCCTGGGCTACATGAGACACTGTCTCAAAATACAAAACAAGGGACTAGAGAGATGGCTCAGCAGTGAGAAGTGTGTACTGAGCTTCCAGAGGATGCAAGTTTGGTTCTCAGCATCCACAACCCTGCTAACTCCAGCTCCAGGGGTATCCAATACCTCTGGCCTCTGTGGGCACCTGTAGCCATGTGCGCGCGCACACGCGCGCGTGCGCACACACACACACACACACACACACACACACAAACTAAAACTAAGTCTTAAAAAAAAAACACCCAGCCTGGTCTCCATTGCAAATCCACAATTACCACACTGGACTTTCCAGGCAACTATAAAATTTCTACATTTCAGGCAGGTTTAAAACAAAGTCATGGAAAATAAGGTATGATCTGTCCTCTGGACTGGATTTACTGTACAGCATAAGTCTTCCCGTGTATAGTTAATTTACCACACTTGAAGGAGTTCTCCCAGGTCTGGAGAAATGGCTCAGTGGTTAAAAGCACTGGCTGCACTTGCAGAGGATCTGGGCCAGAAGAGGGCATCGGATTCCCTGGAACTGGAGTTAGATATGGTTTAGTAGGTTGTTAGTTGCCATGTGTATGATGGGGACAAAACCTGGGTCCTCTGTAAGAGGAACCAGTATGGGGCACGCCTTTAATCCCAGCACTCGGGAGGCAGAGGCAGGTAGATCTCTGTTAAGTTCAAGGCCAACTGGGGCAATAGGGAGACCCTGTCTCAAAAAGACCTAAAGAAAAAAAAAAAAAAAAAAAAAATTTTTTTTAACTTTATTGCAGCTAGGAAATAGAGACAGATAGGGGGACCAGGGATAAATTGCTT